GGGGTGGAGCACAACTGTCATTTTGTGATTAAGTTAATCTTTAAATATGGTTTTCAAACTACTCTACTCTCTCTTTACTCATAAATGTGGTAAGGTTTCAAAGATGAAGCTTCTATGAAAAAAAAAAAGTATTATGTGAAAATGGAAGGTGACCATTGTCTGATCACAAAATGATTGATGCCTTTATCACTGCATAGCAACTAAACTATTTCTAATCATCGCCCAACCACATTGATATATAATTTAAACCTTGAGAGCCAGTGTTACTCTCACCTCAGTATTTGCCACATACATTGTCAATGCATAAAATAGAAAGTAGGTTTTATTTTTCATTTTAATCAGGTAGCGTGAGAGTCAGTGAGGAGGTAGGGGATTTGCAAAGGCTTAATGAAAATGCCGTTCACTGGATCCACCCCTTGACCTATCTATGAGAAGCCAAATTTCATATTAAATATTTGTAAGAAACAAAATGTTACTTCAGTATGTGAGGGACGGTGGTATCAGCTGGAATGAATCCTGAAGCACTAAGGCAATCCTTAAGCATTTACAGGATTTTTCCATTGTATTTGCTGACCCCTCCCTCCTGAGTCAAGCAGAAGGTTTTCCATAGAAAGAGTTTAGCTTCACCTGCATTGGATTCTCTTGGTGATTTACTCCCTGGCAATTTTCAATAGAGACAGGAAAGCTGGAATCAGCGCTTCAGTTTGCTTCAGTTGTTCGAGAACTGTTCGCCTCCTGCTTTACCTCTGTTCTTCTACATTCTTGGTGTTCTGTCTCATTATTAATACTTAAAAAATATTTTACCCTCAGTCTGCAACATCTATCGAGTGGGATTTTCTGAACGCGGATAGTACCCAGTGGGGTTGAGTTGGTTTTGACTCATGGCGAACCCTCCTTAGGGTTTCAAAGGCTGTAAACCTTTAGCAGAAGAAGCTCAAGGAGAGATTGGTAACTTCAAAGTGCTGACTTCTGGTAACCCACAGGACAGTTTATGAACTATGCCACCAGACTTTCTTAAGAATAAAGTCTAGGGACTTTGATTTTGCTACAAATACATTGTTACGGAAGTGCTTCCAAGTAGACAGAGACAGATCACAACCCTACAAACAGCAGATTTTAATTTTGCCCTAGGCTCCACCATCCTAGGTCTCCAATATTCTCAAGAATATTGTTACACTCGCTGTATTAATCCACCTTAATGAGGGCCTTCCTCTCTTTGTCTGACCCTTTGCCTTCCTCAACATGATATCTTTTTCCAGAGACTGGACCCTCTTGACAAAATGCCTAAAATATGTGGGATCAAGTTTCACATCCTTGCCTCTAAGGAGAGATGAATTACTACTGAGAAGGGATCAAAAAACATGAGCTAAAAGGGGATGCATTTTGAAATAACTTTCAATTTCAGTCGTCCTTAACCATAGTCATTGACCATAGTATTTAAGGGAGCCAAAATTTATGGAATAGATACATTTCCTAATTTATCACTTATATCCTAATAAGATGTTAATACTATTGCAAGGAGGTTGTTCTGTGCCATTGAGTTTAAATGTGACTCATATAAAGCCTATAAACAATGGACCTAAATCCTGCTTTATACTATGCCATCCTCACGTTCACATATAAGAAGCAGAATCATGATCTAGGAGTAAAACCACCATTAGATAAATGAACTACTATTACCACATCATGAGAGCTCCAGTGGCTGCATGGTAAGGAGTTGCACTGCCAATGTAAGGCATGTAGCTCAAATCCAGCAGATAGATGCTCCTTGAGACAAAAGATGGTCATTCTGCTCTTGTGCCAATAACTGCCTCTGAAAACCCACTACAGGTCAACTATAACTTGGTACTGACTAGATGGTACATAACAACATTATATGAATACAAAATTACCTTATTAGTTTATATTGCCTAATGCATTATGCAGATGACACAACCCTGCTTGCTGAAACTGAGGAGGACCTGAAGCGCTTGCTGCAGAGGGTCAAGGACTGCAGCCTCCAATATGGATTGAGGCTCAATGTCAAGAAGACAAAGATTCTCACCACTGGACCAACTGGCAGCATCAGGATGGATGGTGAAGAGATTGAGATTGTTCACAGCTTCAGTTTGCTTGGCTCCACAGTCAACACTCTTGGCACCAGTAGCCAAGAAATTAAAAGGCGCATTGCCATGGGAAAGTCTGCTGTTAGGGACCTCTCCAAAGTACTGAAAAGCAATGGTTTCCCTCTGGAGACTAAGGTGCGTCTGATACAGGCCATGGTCTTTGCTATCACTTATTATGCATCAGAGAATTGGACAATGACTAAGGAGGACAGAAGGAGAATTGATGCCTTTGAGCTTTGGTGCTGGAGAAGAGTATTGAGGGTACCATGGACTGCTAGGAAAACAAACAGATTCATCCTGGAAAGGGTTAAACTGGATGGCTCCCTGGAGGCAAGGATTCTAAGGATCCATCTAACATACTTAGGATATATTGTAAGGAGATCCTTGGAGAGGGACATCATGCTTGGGAGGGTGGAGGGACAGCACAGGAGGGGAAGGCCCTCTATGAGGTGGATTTATTCAGTGACTGGGGTAATCAGGATGCATGTATCGGAGATTGGCACAGGACAGAGCAGAGTTTGGGGCTGTTGTACATAAGGTCGCTATGAGTACCAAGCGACTTGACGGCACATAACAACAATAATGATGATGATAGAAGAATTACTTTAATGTCCATTCCTTCAAAGTTAAAGTATGATTTTGGAATGCAGAGGAAGACTGAACTGTGATTGAAAATCACATGTTTACGTCAATATTGATTTTTTTTTAAACAAACGTCTCCTAAGTTCTACTTTGGTGCCAAGTCTCAAGAAAATGAATGTCCTTTACCTGAGGGTTCTCACAACAATTAGAGCAAGTTAGTTCATAAAGGCAGAGTCATTTGTTAAATATTCTTAGATTAGACAAAATGGTATTATTTTTAATGATTATCCATTATTCAGGGATTTCTGGTGGTCGCTGTGTGGTAATCATGAAAGTGGGCAGTTCAAATCCATCAGCTGCTCTGAGGAAGAAATATGGGCAATCTTCTCTGAGTGATTAACTACCGTTGAGAACCTGCTGGGAGGTCAGCTAAGGGCCAGTTTTGACTCCATGCTAGACGACAATAATAATTTAAGTTTATGTTACTTATTAAATTGCTTCATTTTTATTTTAATGAGGTAAATATATATGGAATAGAGCATGTGATATTGTAACAATCAGCACACGGATCAATCAGGGACACTAAACTAGTAAACCACACAGTTCAATTAACAGGCTCTTTCATTCCCAAATTATACCATCATGCTCGGCAGCAGTGCCGATCTGCGACATGCACATTCCTCCTCTTTCCTGTCTGCCTCCTACCTGTTTCCACCAAACACTAATAAAATTTGGTGTCTATACATTTGTCTAGTCTAGATAATTATCAAGTGAGTCATACAATATATAGCCTTTTTTTGTGTCCAGGGGCAAGGAGGGGATTAATCATTGGGTTGTACAATTTGATGAGTGGCGGTGAGGAAAATGGAAAGAATGTGCTCAAATTTGTATTTGAATTTTATAAATAAACTAGTAGAAAAAAAATTTTTTTAATTAAAAAAACACTGAAACAGATGAGGGAAAGAAAAATTTAAAAGCGATGTATGATAGGGTCTTATGGTTATCACAAGAGTCCACAATTAAGGTTACATAGTGGAATATACTTGGGGCGGTGGGAGGGGTGCGGGGGGTGGATTGTGTACCAAGGAGGGAGTGTTTCTTTTACTTTTGAAAGAGAGGAGAGAACAGGGGCAGGGGCAGGGGGAGGGGGAGGGAGGGCTGGGCAGGGAGAGAAGTGCAGCAATGAATGAATGGAAATCCAAAATCTCTGTACATGTTCACTAGAATTATTAAAATAAAAAAAGAAATTTTAAAAAAGGATAAAAAATTAAAACAAAACAAGAAAAATTAAATTAAAAAATAACCTTCTATTCTTGACTTATTTCATTCAGCATTGAGAATACCAAATTTATCCTTTAATCCACAAACATCAGAATATGGAACTGTAAATGCAACTCAGCTATTTTCCTAACCTACAGTCTTCACAAATTTGCATAATTAATCCATATTCATGGTTTTACAAACGAGGTGCTCTTTGGTAGAAAGCCTAATGATGAGGTCCTCACTTGCCCTAAGGGAAAGAGGCCTCCTCTGGAATTAGACGTGGGTCATAGCTCTATTTCTTCTGCTTTCATTAGCTCTATCACTTTTCCTCCCTGAGTTTTCAGTAGTTTTCATAGACAAAAATAAAAAAGCTACTGTCTTTCAGTCAATTTTTCATCACAGAGCTCATCCTTCAGATTTAGAGGCCATATGTCGTTACGGGTAGGGAGCTCTCATGGCCTAGAAGCTGCACTGCAATCCCAAAGGCACGTGGTTCACAACCACCAATTGTTCCACAGACGAATGACTGGCAATCTCCTGTGTGATTTACTACCTCTGAAAACCCGCTGGAGGATGAGCTACAAGTTGGTTCAGACTCGATGACACACAGCAACCATAACATCATTATTTGAGAAGTCTACCTATCTTTCTCCTGAGAAGCAACTAGTAGGTTTGAACTGTTCACCTTTTGATTAGCAGCACAACACAGAACAAGTAGCCAACTACACCACCAGGGTTCTTAAAAGGGGTTTTAGAAAGCAATGATTTAGTGACAAAGTGAGACATCACAAATGGCTACACCTTTGTCTGATTGCTGTAAGTACTCTAACTTCCCAATGCTGTTGAAATGTTACAGATTAAATCCTAGGAGAGTAACTAGTTAGTCATTCTTCCACTTTACCCAGACTCTCCCTTCTCAGGACAGTCAAAGAAGCCAAACCTTTACTCTGCACTGCAAATACTGGACAAAGACTAACACAATACAATTCTTCAGTATTACTCTCTTATTAAAAAAAATTGAACCCGTGGGATTATACTTGAAATACTAACCTGTGATGAACTCTTTTCAAGCTTTTGGGTTAAATTATCCCAACGCTGAGCAAAGTTTTCCAGCCACGTTTCCATCTTCTGGGTCACTGCCTTGTTTTTCAGGGTTGAAAGAAGATCTTGGTTTAGTGAGGAGAGTTTCTCCATGGTTTGCTTTTTCATTTCTAGTTCTGTTTTCAAGACCTATTAAAAAGAAGATCACAGAATACATTCAAGTTGCTTTGCATAAAGTTCGATCAGTTTTTTCATATGTCTTTTCCTTTAAACAGACAGCATCGTGTTGCCCTTATCTATTTCCATTCCATGCTTCTTATTTCAAATGACTGTAGTATAGTCACGCACAAAATTATGAATGGACATAAGCAAGTTCAACTTGTATTAAACTCAGATCACGTCTGCAAAGGATCCAAAAAAATTCAAGTCATGAAATTCCAATTCAATAACCTTCCCATGAACATTGAAAACAGAAAAAGGTTTTGATGTCTTTTTCATAGGTTCACTACGAACTGGCGTGCACACGACGGCACCTAAGTACCAGTTCAGCGAAACCAGTTACCACTGGAAAAACTCTTGGTAATGTCATTTGTGTCAGAGTACAACTAAGCCTGATGGGGTTTCCAGTGGTTGATTTTAAGAAGTAACTCATCAAACCTTTGTTCTGAGATACCTTTTGGTGTATTCCACTGTCAAACTTTCACTCAGCAGTCATGCAAATGACACATATACAAACTCGTCTGGCGACATAGACTCTAGGGAGTTTCACTGCCAACCCAAAAAGGGGGGCATTTTCTCCAATTTTCAAATTCACCAATTGGCGTGTGACAGAAACATGGGAAAACTTCTGTGCAATTTGCAACTTCTGAAACTGTCCCAAAGGAGAAAGATGGGTAATCTCCTGTGCATTAAAACTGCCTCTGAGAACCTGCAGGAAGGGTCAGATCTGAGTGAGTTTTCACTCAGTGGAACACACCACCACCCCACACATTCACACTCAGGTGGCATACT